ATACCAGCAGGTGCGGACACGGAAAAGAGGCAATGAGTATCAGCCCAAGAACATCAAACGCAAGAGGACCCACGGCTGGATCAAGAGGCTCAGCTCACAAGGGGGCATCGAGGTGATTCTGCGACGCATGTTTAAGGGACGCAAATCCCTCTCACACTGAAGATTCCTGTTTGAATACTGCAAGACTTTAAGGAAACATACATTGATTTCAAAATGCTGGCAGTGTTCTACAAAGAACACTTGTATCGGATTCAGTGAAGAAACTTCTGGGTGAGAGGATGAAAACTGGCTTTCGACAAAAACAAAAAAAAACTGCTGCAGACAACGGAAAAATTAAGCCTGGTGGTTTCACCCAGTGTTTTTGAGCCGTATCATTTTGTAGCAGATGTCTGGAAAATTAAAAACAACCATGTAAAATGAATATGCATTTGTGATTGTGTAATGACTTTTCAATGTCCAATCATACTTTCAGTCATTTGCATTGGTCTATGGAATGGAATCCAAAATGAAATTAGTATGGGTGACATTCCTCTTTCTTACAAGATAATTATGCAGACAAATCGTACCCCTTATGATATGAAATTATACACATCAAGATTGTTCAATGCTGTGGCTGAGATTATTTTATGTGAACTGCCAGCTAACTTTTTGTTCACTCATGAGTGAGCTATGAACACCTGACCAGTTAACCCACATGGCCTATTATCTACCATTCATAGTAAGTTAACCAATAAACATGTAAACCAAACTATTTAAATACAATACATAGCTTCACACTAAATTGGCTTCTACAGATTGAGTAATAAATAGAGTTTGTGGACAGAGTTTGGTGTTTTAAGTGGTACATTTTTGACTATGAAAAATGGCTGCCATCTACAGTATGTGAAGTTCTTTTCCACTGTGACATCTTAAGTTAAATTTCACGGTTTCTGTTTCTGTAAGAGAAAGGGTTTACTTATGCTGAGATTACAATCCCAGGTCCTTGCGCTCCTGTCTTGAATCTGATCTGGTAACCTGGACCCTTTCATCAGAGTCTAAAGGTGTAATTTACAAACCAAGAAATTGTTGAAAAGGAGAGGTTTTGGTAGTTAAAATTACAAAAGTTGAGGAAAAAATGATACATTAAGTGAGGACCTCAATATGTCAGTATTACATGAAATAAGTGAGGACCTCTATATGCTATGCCAGTATTACATGAAATATGTACACCAAACAGAAAAACAAAATTATAAAAGCACAATCCTGCAGGCATGATTCAACATTGACTTTGGGTCAGCTATCTCGAAGTTTTCTTTAGTAATTGGTATATTGCAGCTGGCTTCTTTCACCACATCCCGAAGCTCTCAGGTGGTCTTTTATTTCTTAATCTTTCCAGGCGCTCCCATAGTGCTCCCAGTCTCCATTTCAATTTTCACCGCATTAGCAGTGATTAAGATCGTTATCATGCTGAAAAATAAAACCATTCTCAATAAAGCGTTTTATAGAAGCAATAGCATGAAGAATCACGTTCAAATGGAAACAACAGATATAATGTGATGTTTGATTACGGTTCTGTAGATAAAATACACTCGCACGAAGAACAAATATCTGCATCGAGAAGTTATTTACATGGACGACATACTGCTGGAAGTGTCGGTGTTGTTTTCATGCCACAATCCCGCTGTTATTGGAAGACGCGTGTGTTACATAATAACCATTAAGCCAATCGGCGTAGTGCGTTGTCTAACGCGTCACACAGCTACCAGCGTTCCACCAATCAAATCCGTGGAATCTCAAACGGGAACACGCCCCCGAACAGAGGCACAACAAAAATGGGGTTGCGATCAAGTAGCGAGTTAGCTTTCTAGAACGTTCATTTAATGTTTCCTTGTCTTAAGCTGTTTATCAGGGCAACTGTTCGACTGATTTTAAGTGGCGTGATGTAATAATCCTAAAGTCGAAGGCATTTTATGTTTTAGAGTCGTCGTAAGAAGCTCGCGAACGGGTAAACAAACCGGTGTCTTAGCTACGACAAAAGACAACAAGGCTTAGTGACTAGCTAGCTGCAACAGTAGCATCTGCTGTGTTTCCACTGTCTGTGCGCTTTCTAGCTCGTTAAAAACGACCAAAGAGGGGACTCGGAGCGACATGGAGAAGGTACGTGCACCACTGGACCTTTCTTAGTAGTTAATGTTTTGTTTGCCTGCACTAGTTTATTCTTACCTGTGTTGACATGTTACTTAATGTTAGCTGCTGGGGAAATAGGTGTGACTATGAAACAGGGACTGCCACCTATCTATTCCAACACAATGTTACTCTCTGTTACACATGAATGGCTATAGTAGTTGTCTTTCACGTTACCACCCCAGACACTATGTACTTTTAAAGTGTATGTGTTAGTGTGTCTGGTCTAATTCGTGTGTTTTTGTTCTCAGGAGGATTTCCTGAAGGGACTACCTGTGTACAACAAGACTAACTTCAGCAGGTTCCATGCGGACTCTGTATGTAAAGCTTCAGTAAGTTTCTTTATATGCTCTCCACATGAAGACACATCATCATGTTGCCTGTAAATAATCTGTATTTTGACTAACATAGATCTGGATTTTATTTTAGAACCGTCGACCATCTGTGTACCTGCCAACCCGGGAATATCCATCAGAGCAGAGTGAGTGCATTGATTTTTGAAAATTCACAGATAAGCTAACTTTCTATCAATATTTTTTTTAAATGTTGTAGTCACATCTAAATAAAGCTATCATCACACTTTACAATTGTCTTTTAGCAGCATTTTAGCATGCTTATCTAGTTAGTAATTCCCCAGTAAGTGCAGATCTCAGCTGCATCTTTAGTTTTTTTTTTTTACAATGACGTAATCATGTTTGTATCGTTTCTCCTCAGTCATAGTCACAGAGAAGACAAACATCCTACTGCGGTATCTTCATCAACAGTGGGACAAAAAGGTAATGGTTTGAAGACATTGAATGTAATGAAAGAAGATGCTAATTTGATCATTTCAGTATCAGTCTTGTGTGAGATGCTTCATTGTTTGTTAAGTATGTTACCATCTGTTGTGAAACTGAATTGCCCTTCTGGGATGAATAAAGTTGTCTGAATCTTCCTTTTCTCAGAATGCAGCCAAAAAGCGAGAGCAAGAACAAACAGAGGGGGAGAACACGGCGCCTCCAAGAAAAATTGCCAGAACAGACTGCCGGGAGCTGAATGAGGATTCATAAGTGTCCGTGCTGTTGATGCACACCAAGCAGAGACTGAGCTGTACAAAGAGAGTGCTCACACAGATGGAGGAAACATGTTTTCAAACCCAGGCCTGAAAACTGAAGCACACAAGGAGCGACACATTTCAGACCACAACCGGCATGACATTAATAAAACACTGCTCCTGATGTTTGCTTTTCGCTTCAGATTTCCTACTTTAAAAAAAGAAAGGCCCATCACCTTATGTGATACTTTCCCCCAGTATTTGATCTGAACTCCCAGAAAACCCTCTGCCTCATATTTGGTCACTGTAGTTTAAACAACAGGCATCTACCTCCTTATCCCTCTCCTTTCTTGTGTTCCCTCACATCGGCTCACACAGGTTTCTTTGAAATATGCAAGAAGTAAATTTGTTGCCTCTGCTGCTCTGTCAGGGTTTACAGCGGTCGTTGTTCATATCATGTTAGAGATATGCATGTTTTACGTAAAGTCTGTGTATATGTTCAAGTGACATTAAGTGTGTGGCTCCTACTCTTTTAGAAAGTTTTATTTTTAAAACATTTGAAGACAGTGACCCTTAAAATGTATTTTAGTTCATCTTTCGTGTTCTTACTGTTCTAACAGTAACTGAAAAGACAACTTCTTGTTTTTAAAATAGAAGTATCCAATCAGGGTTTGTAATGGACTGAAAGGAAAGAAATGTTTTGATTTATTGCCTTAAATGGAAACAAGCGAGGTTTCACCATGTCTCAGATTCACCTCTGTGTTTACAGGTGAGAAAGGGAACCACTGTCGAGCTGAACAGTTTCTAGCATGTCTCTTCATCTGGACTTATTGAAGCCAACACAGTCGTATACCTGAGGATGCACATTTTGTTTTGTACAGTTTCATTTTGTAGCCATATCTTCAGTTTGATGCTTAGTAGATTCAAATCATAATGTAATGTGCTTATAACTTTATAGAAACAGTCGTGGTATTATGGAAGAGGTGATGACTACAGGTATTTCACTGGACTGATGTATAAATGTGCCATTACTCATTCTCAAAACGTGGATCATTTGAGTCGTTTTTGGCTTTGACGGCGGGGCTTAATAAACACTTGTGTGTGCTGGTCATAGAAGTTGTAAAGCTCATTGAAAGACTCCCCAAATCTTTGGTTGTACAGCATGCATGTTGTAATTGTTTTGAACCTTTTAATCAGGTAACGAGAACAAATTTGAATTTTCTTTCCCTATGTCAGTCATGTGTTTTATTCATTTTTGCTCAGGAATGGATTCTTTTACTCTTAAGGAAGTCAAAACAAGTGATGATGAAAAATACTTCTCACACTCTCTTTAAACATCGCTTGTCAAATGTCTGTGTGAGACTTTATCAATCATGTTTGGCACGATTGACAGTTGAGACTATTGATGTATATTCTTACTTTTATCACAAATCGTTGCTCAAAGGTTACAGAGTATATGTTTAATTTGGCTTCTTGTGTATGTGAAATACACAGTTTAAGTTCTCCAGAAAGACTTCAAACCACAAACATGCAGTGTTTCATGTTCTAAGATCTTCATAGAATAGTGTGTTAATGTGTCATATGGTTTGTACTCCATCACCTGTTCAATGCTTTGCTTTGAGTTGATTGTATGTAACTATATTGTTGATTTCAGAAGTTGTTCTTGTATAGATTGCACTGTGACATACAGTAAAGGCTGTAACTCAGTATATCATTTTAGTGTTTTTATTTTATAACTTTAGTTGAAATGCATGCTCCTTATTTTATTTTATTTTTTTACATGGTAACAAAACAAGTCATTGCCTTATCTCTTAATGGATGTTTATTCAAGAGTGATATTTATTTGCATCATAGAAGTACATTCACTAATTCATGTAGTAAAATAATTCATAGAAAATAAAATGTCAGAAAAATAGAATACTTTTTTCAAGGTCACAGTGAGTATAATCAGACCTATTGCGGAGGAATACAATGGCTTTAAAAGTGCTATACAACTGAAAATAGGTGATAAATGTGTAATGCATGCATTACAGACAGGCATCAGAATGAGAAACTAGACGAAGCACGGGAAGATGCAGGTCAAATCACTGATGCTCAGGTCCTCTTTTTGAAAACGATCCGGCTGTTGAAACCAGGCGGACATGCAGTATTGTCGCCGGATCATCGAGCCCTGTTCACAGAGTAACACATACTGTACACATTTTTACATGGACGCTGGATAGTCAAGTGTTTATAGATACAGTAGAATACTTTGTGCAGAGTAAGTTGCATTGAGAGTGAAAGTCTAGCACTTGCTGACCTTACATGTGGTCCTTGTGACTAATGTGCTCCCCTACAGTACAGGTGTTACAGTCTATTTACATTGCTCTCAGTTCATTATATTACATTGGTATCCTTGAATATTTATTAACTCTTGGAACCCGAGTTTTCAGAATCAGTCAACTGTCTTGATTCTCCTTTTTCCGACTCATTAGAGGGTAACTCCTCCTGGCTTGTGTTTAACTCAGCTCTGTTTGGTTGAGTGTTAGCAGGTTGACCTGTTGTTTGTGTCCCGTTCACACACACCACAGTCCCCTCTGATTTGCTGAAACTGAACAGCTTTCCTGGACTGAATGTCCTGTTAGGGGACTGTGATCTCTCGTGGCCACCAGGGAGCGCTGAAGAAGCCACGGTTGACCCCGGTGACGCTCCAGCTGCCACCGCCGGCTCCTTTTTCACCTCGGGTGACTTCAAGAACTTGAGAAATCCCGGCAGCTTTGCCTCTCCTCCTGTGGGGGACTGAGCCGGTGAGCGTGAGGTGCCAGAGGAAAACTTCCCCTGCAGAGGGATGATCTGCTTCAGTTTCATCACGTTGTTGTTTCCCAGCAGTGAGCTCGGTCTCTTTGGTTTGTCGCCTGCTTTGCCCCCTGTTGCTTTGTCATGGTGGTGCTGGTGCTGGGAGTCTGCCTTGTGGTAGTCGCTCTCCTGGCGGGCCTCGACCTGCAGCTCAGCCTGACGCTGGAGCTCCTCTTCTTCACGTCGGCGTCTGAGCTGCTGCTGGAAGTGCTGCTGGGCCTGCTGCTCGTGTTTCTGAATGGGTTAGAAAGATCAAATGAAGACACAGAGGTGGAGAGGGAAAGCAAAAGACAGGGGAAACACTGATAAGGGAAGAAAACCGATTGAGGAAGGACACAAAATAATGTAAGGTAGTAATGCTGACAAGCACATGGTAGATCATTTCACACTGGAGTGTTAACTGAGGAGTACCTGAGCCTTTGTTATTTCTATTTATGCTATAAGTATTTGAAGCTGAAGGGCTTTAAACTAGGTGAACACAGCGACCTCTGGTGGCTGATGATAATTATAGCCGGCCTGTAATGAAACATTTCAGTCTCGTGATCAACTTATGTCCAAGACGCCTGGATGTTATCAGTTAAAGCTATATATGTACTTTTAATCAGAGGTTCTACATATAATAAACATGTGATTGTGTTAGACATTGATATCACCTTGCATTGTCAAACCAGCTTTAATGTAGTTATGTGGTGAAGTTCTTTCTGTTTCTTTGGGCTTCTGTTTCTGAAATGTATAGTTGATATTAACTTGACATTTATAGTCCCAATGTGATGTATTAGATACTTATATTCATTAGTTAGCTTATTTATTTACTACATTTATTCATGATATCTGGTGGAACATTTTTATAATTATGGCAGATGAAAATAAAACGCTACTTTTCACAGGAGTTAAACAAGGTTTGGAACGTTTGGTATCATCTGCCTATCCCAATTCTTTACTGTTAAATGATTCTATCACCCTGTCCTGTGCTTAGTTAACACAAACCAGATGTTTGTTTACGACAAATATGCTGAATTTTTCTCATATTGTTACTTTGCTATCTCATGACAAGACAAATCTAAAACACCATCAAAACAGGAGCCACTTATGTGATTCAAACATGATACAAAAAAACAGTCAAACACATACAGTCATTTCTTATGGGCAGTCAGAAAATGCTGCAGTAGTGTTTATGTCTGGACAATACATCGAACAAACCAGGGGACACAAAGGGATACATGTTGGAAGATGTGATATCATTTGCACAAAGTGCAGCCAGCAGCAAGCCTTGCGTTGGCCGAAGGTCTTTCAAGCTATCACACAACTATACCTTGAAAGCTTCCCTTCGTCGATACTCTAGCTTGGCCATCTCTTCTGCTACCCAGCCAGGGATATCAGGGATGGCAACATGGATGACGTACTTTAGGAGGATTGCAAAGTGCTGAAAACCACCGAGACCACAGAGGGACAGGCTCAACAAACGGTTACATCGAGACACAATCAATTTTCCTCTCTGTATTTTTAGCAAGCACATCACAACAAATACTCAAAACTCACATGAGGTTTGGTTTTCATCGATAACTTAACTATTCATATATAAAGGTTTTACATATTCTACAAAAATAGCTGGCTAATGTAAAACCTGTGAAGGGAAACTAGATTCCCTTCAAACTACAGAACTCATCATAGACAAACCTGTGTTGATCAGAAACAGGACAGTACGTACCTCTAGTAAGACGATGGATATGATGGTCATCTCAGGGCTAAGCCAGGGAAACAGACGCTGCAGTTGACCACACTGACCAATCAGGTAACAGTTTACGATGATGGCGATCAAGCCCATGGCCTCCATTGCAGTCTGATGGTGAGTGAATGAGAATCAAGGCATTTAGACTGTGTTCAGTGCAGCCTGAAGGCACCACTGATATTTTGCTAACACTGACCTGCCATTGTCCGATATTCTCCACCCTCTGTCCGAAGGGTCTCTGCAGGCCGGTGCAGAGCTTCAGCGCGTCACTGCGGATCTCAATGATGTTGTTGATAAGAGCACACATGGCCGCCAGGGGAAACGCAGAGGAGAAAAGCACCACATAACCAAATTGAATGAACATTTCCTGATAGTCCTGGAGCGTGTCCTGTCGAGACCATAACAAACAAAAAAAAGTGAATAACATCACAAGCCATTGATATAAAATGGTTACAGATGTTCTAACAAGATGTAAGATCATTTTGAAAAAGCAAAACTCTTCACCTCGTATGTCTGCATACAGCTCTCAATCTCAGCCTGGGTCAGAGTGACAGTTTGAGGTTCTTCAGGTGGATCGATCCATGACTTCTTCTCTTCTTTCCCCTCCTTCTCATTCTTTCTTCTCTGACAGAGAGAGTCAGATTCCTTTGGAGAGGACACATGCTCCTTGGTTTCCTGCTAGGGTAAACATTAGACTACGATACTTTCTCTAGTGAATACTCAGGCATGGTAAAATCTACAGTTTAGTTTAGGATACTTTTATTTCATGATACGACTTCATTATTACTTATGTATTTTAAGGGTTGGAATAATCTTAATATATCAATACAGTTAAACAATATTTTTCCTTTTTGGCCCAAGATGTGGATTACTGTATTTCTGCATGTCTATGTTTTTGCATGGAGACATTGTACAGGCATTCCTTCTTTGTTGATAGTGTTGCTCTGAGTAACCTGTACCCATTTAATGTGCACATAAGTGCCTTCCTTCAGGGCAGGTTATGGCATATCTGGATAAAAGCAGTGGTTGGGATGGATAAAACCCCAAAGGTGAAAGGGTGATGTGTCATAAAAGCAAGCAGACCACATACTTGACTCAGCGATTCGCAATCACTGTCCTCGTCACAGCTGTCAAAAATACTGGACGGGTCCATCCCCTCCTCTACCAGCGTTGGACTGTCCTCGAGGAAGCTGTCAAACACCGGCTGGGTTTCTGTCGTCACGTCCTGGTAGTCGACCTTCTCCGTGAAGCTGACTTTACGTTGCTTCAGATTGCTGTCACTCATGTCCCACTCTTCCTCTGACAGCCTGAATCCGGCTTTCAGATCCCCTCGTCTCCTCGGCTCAGGATTACCGTTAGTGGTGTGACTGACGCCGATCCCTCTGGGACCCAGGAAGGAATAAGCTGTCATTGAGGCTTGAGCCTTTCCCAGAGCAAGGCGGCCATATTTGAGCATGATGGCTTGGAGGAGCTCCCAAAGCACCTTTGGGGTGAAGACACCCAGCTTGTTTTGCTCATAGATATAAGGCTGGAGGACCTCTTTGATGTTCTGTAGGAATTGGCGGAAGATCAGTAGAGTGGCTAGCATCTGTGAGGAGAGGGAAAACATCTGTAAGTGTTCTGAATGAGTGCTGAAGATATGACATGCACATAGTCCCAAATAAACCTTGGTACAGATAAACAGGCTAATGGTATCACTCTATTTGAATACTAGGACACACCCGCTTGTGACGACCCCTTACTGTGTCAGTGCTCTTCCTGTTGCCTTGTATCTCTCCCCACTCAGGTTGCCTTCAGGTATAAAGGGGCAGAGCCACTTAATTTGTTGTCATGAACCTGGGCAGGCTGGGCCTCAGTATTTAAGTTGGCTTCTCAGTCTCTACCTCTCTCTTGTCAACACTTACTTTGTGTTCTTTGTTTAGCCTCCACAACACTACACACACATTCACCATGGCAATCACCACTGATCTACAGACTGCATATTCTTTTATTAGGATATGTTGCTTTAGTTTTCAATAAATAATCACTTAAATAACTTTAAAACTGTGTGGTCTCCCTGTTTGTCCAGCTCACTGAGCCTGGGTTGTGACACGCTCCATCATGCAATAAGAACCTTTTTCTGTTTTGGAAGTTCTTCTTTTGTCATCAACAGGTGACAATGCTGCATTCTAGCCTCAGAGTTGGATCTTGTGCCTCAATCTTAAGCACAATATCCTGTATGTAGCCATTGAGTGTGAATTAAAGACCCCTTTAAGAATTGTCTTTTTTTCAAACGTGTCAACACTTGAAACTGGTTTTTCTAGCAACTCATGAAGTGCCATAAAAGCTGCAAAAAGCTGACAGTTGTCAGCTTGAAATCAGAAGCCTGCGCTTTGTCTAACTGTCAGAAATCAAAGATCAATTGTTAAATAATAACACATAATTTTGAGCAGTACATTTTCGGCTTTATCACTGTCCCCTGCATATTTGCCTTTTGAAAACTTGCTAGGCAGACATAAAAAACATGACCATGAATTAGTAATCAGTTTTTTTGCAAAGGCTAATGTCACTTGGAGATCATTATTTTGTTTACAGGTTTTTGTTACTGCCCACAGTTTTTGTCACCTCTTTCAGTCTCTCCATGTCCTTGAGGTAGAATCCAATGTAGAAAAGGCTTAGGTAAGAATTGATGAATTCAAACTGTTAAAACAAAGACAGGAAGGAAACATTACAAGCAGTCAAAAACTTGGTCAGACAAACTGTCTCTTTTCTACCTAAATCTGAAGAGGAACAATGACTCACAAAAACCATCTTGATGATGAGATTATTCTCATAGGCACTCTGCAGTCTGTAGTTCTCTGGAGAAAGAAGCATTTATGAAGTTACTATAGAATGACAGCAAAAGGTTTTATCTTGTACGTGCCTCATTTATCTTTTTCAGAGAGTAAAAAGAAGAGACAAGCCTACCCTTGATAACAATCAGAGACATTTTAATTTAATTTCTTACAAAATAATTCCTCTGAAGTATAACAGAGAAAGCCGATCACAACTTTGCCCAGAGGATGTTTAACATCTCTTACCCATGTCATTGAGCCAGTAGGCGATCTTCTTATACACTTCGTCACATACAGTCACAGTAAGGGCCAGGAGTATCTTAGGAATGAATCTTGTGATACCTGGAAGCTCCTGGATCTCCATCACCACTTCCTGTTAGGTGCATAGACACATTATAAATATTTGATACGTCCTTTTCATTCTCTCAAATCCCACATCTGTAATAATAAGTAAGTAATTAAAATGGCTCTAAAATCAAATGGCATAAGTTCATTGAAATGGGCTTTCTGTAACCTGTTTGTTAAAATGTTATAATATAACACATTTAAAGTAGACTGGATCCTAACTTTTGTCCTTATAATACGCTGTAATGCTGCTATTTCTGTTTCTGAAGCTGTTCCAGCCGTTTCAGCTGGTTTATACTCTTCAAAAGAAATACGTTCACACAGTATCAGCCCAGTATTTTTTCAGTACTAGGCCATGTCTTGCATAACGTCCATGCCGTGTTATGTATTCAGACCTGCAGTTCCAGGCAGAGCAGCATGGCGAGGAAGACAAAGCAGAGACAGAGGAGACAGATGGGCAGGCTGACCAGCCATCTGAACAGAGCTCTCTTCCAGGGCGGGTAGTAAAACTCCTCGCAGCCCGTTATAGGACTGCAGCGCTTCACTCCCTGCAGAGACAGACGAGGAAGAGATAACAGCCGGGGAAAGGCTTTATTTAAAATCACAATTACAATCCCATTATTTGGACAGTGGATTTTAAGTATGTCTTCTGCAAAATAGCCAAATGCTTAATTATTTTTCTAATCCAACTTTTTCTGGCTTTATCCAAGTTTTGCCACTCAATTTCTCACACAACTTGTAATATTCCATAAATCCATCTGCACTGACGGTGGCCTTACATTTTCATATCACTCGGTCATATGTTAACTATGCTGCCGTTACCATCCCAAAAACATTGTGCGCCCAACGTGGGGCTCGAACCCACGACCCTGAGATTAAGAGTCTCATGCTCTACCGACTGAGCTAGCCGGGCATGATGTCACCACCTCCCACATGTTTTTTTCAAGCTGTTCCCCCCCCCTTGTCCCCTCCCTCTAACCCTCTATTCATTTCTCACAACAGGAGGTGGGCTGAGGGTGGGGGCTGGGGGAGGCTACCCAAGGCCCTCTTCCTTCCTTCCTTCCCTCCCTCCCTGAGAGCACATGGGGACTGAAGACACGCTACTCTTGTGAACACGCCCATGTTTCCCTGTGTTGTGCTAACCGAGTCGCTGCAGGGTTGCGTAACTGCTCACTGATAAAACATGCAACCAGACCACATTTGCAGCTCTGCGTGATCTGACATGAATAAACTGTATCTAATGTGATCGTTGACATTTTCAGAGGAGTTGTAGAGGTCTCTTAACCCTCGAATAGATTGTGACTGTGAATGTTGGGAGGTCTATCTGAGCGAATGCAGAAGGAAGAGAATATAAGTCTTTGCAAAGCCACAACAAAACAACACAGTTTTTTTTCATCCACGCATTCTACAACGTAAGAAGCGATCCTCTCACCCTAAACTGTGGTCTGGGCTCCTCTAAGGACTCAGCGGGGGTGTCAAGGGTCCCCCACCTGTAGGCGAGCTCAGCTTCTCGCCTCTTCCAGCGCTCCAGAAACAGTGTCGCCCACACAACGTTGAAGAGGGCGAAAACAACACAGCAGATATCCTGACTGGTCTGTAAGAGAATCAACAGATACACAGATAAGCCTTGTACGCCTGATTTTGCTGAACAAAATCTGCACAATTGATTAATGATCTCATGTAAGTATTGTGCTGCTTCAACTTGTTTATGCTTGTCTTCTTATCCTTTCAAAACACACCAAGGAAATCAAATACATGTAGCTAGATAGTCAGCAAAGTAGGCATCAGAGTCTCTGTAACATCCTCACATTCCTGACATCAGAAGCATTAGTGGATGAAATAAAAAACAAAGCAGCAGTGCCCTATATTGTGACAGTTGAAGTGTGTTTTTTTTTACTAATGTTGTAGTAGTTTGAAAAGACAGATCTTGTTAAAGAATTGAACTCAGTACCTGGTCAGCCTCTGCGAGGATCCAGAGCAGGAAGCCGATGACAGCAGGGTAAAGCATGGAGTTTGTGTAGAAACCAAGCCAGGCAAAATACATGCCGATCTTAACCCCAAAGTAGTCACAGATATCATCTAGAAAGCGGAGAGTATTTTGAACAACTTCCTAAAAGAATATTCATCATGGCTTGGATGAAAAACAAGCTTTTACTCTTCTGTGAGATTTAAAGATGGGAAATTTGAATGTGTATTTCTTACCCAGTGGCTGCCTCTCACACACAGCCTGGACCCACGATGTCATCAGCTGATTGAGGATCCTCTGCTCATGGAGAGGAAACATCTGATGGATCACTCCTCGAGCTACCAGCTCTGGTACTTCATAGGACACAACACATGATACACATGATATCTAGGCACTCATACTCTTTCTCCAATTCATTTAGCGGACGCTTTTGTCGAAAGCGACACACATCAGAGAGTAAGTACAACACAAGCAAGGATCTAGAGAAGAGGAAAAAAACGAACAGTTTAAAGTCCGATAAAACACAGGTGCTGACAGGAAGTGACCAGAGGCTAAGTACTGCTACATTTGCTCTTGAGAGCTCTAATCAGCTTAACGCCATCCTAGATATCGTCATTGTTGACATCAATAACAACAATCAATATCACCCTCAATATCATCGTCATCAGCATTGTTGTAGGTGTTCATGAATGAGCTGGGTCTTTAGCTTTTGTGTAAAGGTGCAAAGGGACTCTGCAGATCGAATGGAGTTTGACAGTTTGTTCCACCACCGAGGGGCAACGAAGGAGAAGAGTCAAGAAACATATGGCCTTGTTGTGAATGTTTGATCAGATGCCTTTCATTCAGAAATGAAGACCTGGATGAGAGAGTTTAGGTAAGGGGCAGCCATTTTTGTCGCTGTTTTGAAAACGAGCAGCAGGGTTTTTTAATTTGATGTGAGCAGTAATTTGGAGCCGGTGGAGGGAGATGAACAGCGGAGTTTCATGTGCTGTTTTGGGTAAGTATATATAGTAGAGAAGGGTACCGAGCACTGACCCTTGAGGCACCTCTGTGGATAAATTGTGCACTTCCAAGACACTCTAAAAGATCTGAGAGGTAAAACATGAACCTGCAGGGGACAGAAGTTCAAAGAGCGTGCAGGAGAATTTGATGGTTTACTGTGTCAAAGGCAGCAGCAGCTCTAGCAGCATTAAGAACTGAGGAATTACCAGCAGCTGTAGCTAAACGTAGCAATTCTGTTCACGACTTTCTAAACAACACGGGAAAAGTTACTCTGATAAATGTAGTTCCAAAATGGAAAACCTAATTTGCTGTACTGACACAATCTTTAAATGGACGATAAAAAAGAAAAGCAAGGCTTTTGTAATACATGTGGACATACTGATTGGCTGTCCCTCCAGGAAGTGAATGTTGTGAAGCACCTCCCCTTGTTTGGCTCGCAGATTGTCCAGCCAATACTTTATAATGATCTGACGCTCCTGAAAACACAGTCACGGAAAGACAGATCCTACTAATTAGAGACTTTTTTTGCTTTTAAGTGAGCCCGCAAAAGACACACTTAATGCAAAGTAACAATATGCATATTAGAAACAACCACCTCTCACCTGTGAGGTAAAGAAGCAGAGCTCGCTCTCGATGTTCTCGTAGATGTTGTCTTCCTCGCAGGAGAAGCGCCGCATCCCGCCACCAAACTGCGGTTTGACGGCCTTGTGCATGCTCATCTGCTCCGCCCCCTGCAGTAAACTGAGGGAGAGGACAGAGGGAAAGTGAGCAGCAGGATTAAATCTGATGGAGGACTGTGAGTGAGTGCAGGCTGGTATGCAGATGCACGACAGATTAGGTGCATTTACAGTAATCACACAAACAGTTTCAAACAAAGCTGTAACTGATGACCCTCATCTTGGTTTACAAATTCTGAATTTGTGCTGAGAAGTGCTTTAAGTAATAGTTCCACAATAGCAACAACACAATATGTCATTTGTTTTACTGGTGCGACTTCGGCAAACAAAACGTTACCTTGTTAGTGAACTTTAGAGGCACTTGTCTAGGTTTCTCCCACAATTTCACTCTTTATGCTAAGCTAACTCACGCCTTGTTTGAACTGCATGTATATATATATGCAAACAAAAAAAAATGCTCAGAGATATAAAGTGTAGACTCAGCCCTATCTTTGAAAGAGTATTTTATTTTTTACAACATTGGCTTCCTCTGCAAATCTTTTTCATTCAGCATGTTCAAGGTTTCTGCTTATTATTATTAAAAGGACATTTTTTCTTGCCAATGTAACTTCGCTAAATGTTGCTAAGTGCTAATGATGGAATAATGTTGGGTGTAACAAAGAGTACATTCTTTAATCTGCTCTTTTGGAGCAGGTAAAAGTGTCTCCAGTCACATTTGTCATGAATTGGTGCAATACAAAACCTGGTCCTGATTACAAATTAACTTGGTGTTTTACTCATCCTCCCTTTTGCAAAAATTACGCTGCAATGCATTTATAAGCAGCTAAAATTGTTACCACTAACAAAGAGGCATCATTTTGAAATTGCTTTGCCTCATTGTTATTCTAACCACAGTCCTAAAATCAAGAACCTGCAGAACAATCCATCGGCTGCTTGGAAAAGTGAAAACAAGCCAAGATGTGCGCTCTGAGAACAGTTCAAATAAAGAAATGAACAGCCCACACATGCATCCAAACACACATCCACACTCATACATGAACACAAACACACACAGTTAAAGTCTTACTTCTCGAATGTTGTCGTGATGAAGAAGGCGTGTGTCTGGGCGTGTTTTTGCTGTCGGATCTGAATGCTGACCTGTGGGATCCCGACACGAAACTGATTCAGGAGCCACAGCAGAGTGTGGTCGTCTATGTTATCTGAAAGGAAGTAAAAGTAGTTTGTTTGATGGCGGACTTTTTTCATCATTTACAGACAAATGAGTTTATCTTTTAACAATTAATTCTTTGTCTACAATGATTTGATTCTTCACATATTTTCAGACATGTTATCCAGAAGCAGGACATGATGAGTTTGCTGCTGCATCAGTCACCGCTCTGACAGGAAGGCAGTAAAGCAGTGTGATGGTGGTGACTATTAAAGGTCACTCCCATTAAATCCCTTTCTACATACATCACTTCTTATTGTATATATGCTGAGGACTGGCTATAACTCAAGACTGGCTTCACGCGGATGAATGAAACCTTTCTGTGAGCTTTTTATTTTAATAAAATGATGGAGCAACTAATCATTAAACATTTTTTCAATTTTAATTAAATTCTATCTATTGGTCTAATACTGAAAGGGGGGACATAGATCATCAACGCTGATGAATGCCTAGTGCTGAAACGCGTCCGTTGTTGTTTTGCTGTTCTTACCCAGATAAAGAAACTAAAAGGACATTTGTGTGCTTTTTTTTCTGTCTTTTTTTTTTTTTTTTGCGGTCGTGCAGCTAAAACCTTGTTTACTGTCGAGTGTGCTCCTTTTGCTGTTCTTAACTGACTAAACTATACAGCTTTACAGTAAAACAGCAATTTGGTTAGAAGATATCCCCAATTACTAGGCATGTTTTGGGGCAACTTTCCAATAAAATGAATGAAACAAAATCAAAATAGCTTAGATAACCAATAACAGACCAACCATTGTTCTGGATTATTCATGCTGGCCACTTGTTAAACCTGTTGACATTTGTTTCATTTAGAATCCGGCACCATCGTCATATTATTCTTGGCAGGAAGCCAAAATAGAACAGATGCAGACCTGTCTAAAATATTTGTTTTTTAACCCATATTTCACTTCAATTCATTTCATTTGAATTTCACTTCAATTCATTTTTCTTTTGCTGTCATTTGTAAACTCCATGTTGTTTTGTCTCATAATTAAACAATGAGTAAAAATTAACACACACAGGAAGGAAGATTAGGAAGAAACGATTACATAGAAGAGAAAACTTCAAGGCACTCTCTTGTTTAAACGATTGAAATACCTTTATTTAAATTGCGTTTAAGCTATAAAACACGGTTGTTAGGGTTTTAATGTCTGAGTGACTGCATGAGAAAGACTGTGCCTTGGAGTTTTTTGTGTTCGCTATAAAAGTTCAGTTTTTAAAACTGGTGTCTGCGTTAATGCCTGCACTTCTTACTTGTTTTAATTATAATGAATCATTATGGCATTAAGCTTACTTTCAAGGAAATTCTCAAAATCCTGATAATACTCGGCAAATTTAAAAATAATTTCCAAGATGAACAGAGAATGCAACTTACTGGACAGCAGGCTGGGACAGATTATTCTGTCACATATCCTAAAAAAAACATATCCAGCTTCTGCAGATAAAGCCATTTGATGTGGTGTTTTTGCATTTAGTCAACCCTGTATTTAGTTATGAAGTTTCTCATATTATTATAAAGTTGATAAAATGCTTTCTTACCAAACTTTTGTGCAACTAAAAATGCAGCATCCTGGTTATATGCTGCAGGACAGGCTGGACAGAGAAACAGTTAATGCACGAGAACTTATGCCCCCCTAGAGACTATTTAAAGTCCACGTGACACGTCAGAGTGGTTGGCTGACCACAAAACACAGTAATTGAGGATCCTCTGTTCTCTCTACAGTGTCAAAGGGGGGGGGCAGGCTAGACTACAATTTACTGTACCTGGAAATGTCATCAGGATGTCACAGTTTTCGGTGGGCACCATCTTTAGCCAGGACTTCCGGGACATAATATAGTGTCTGGCCTGCAGGAGACGCTTCCCAAACAGCTTATCTAAAAAGGAAATAAAGGATCAGCAGGCTGAGAAGGTGAGACTGAGTTGAAATAAGGTTAATATAGTCTGAATGAGAGCCACACGGGGAGAAAGACGGATAGGCAGCTGGTGATATTTTGACAAGGACACAGACGACGGGGTTAGTCATTAGTCTACCTCTGCTACTCATCCCAGTGTTATTTCTCCAACATATTGTCTGCCCTTTCCTTGTTTGTTTGTGTTTTGCTTTGTTCTGGAGACAAAAGAGAGAGATGTATAAAACAATTGTTCAGCCAGGGTGAAGGTTGGCTGCGCAGCAGTGGTCACACGACTTTGAGCGAATTCAATGAGCTCTACATAAACAGATGATCTCTAAACTGGATGCTGTGTAAATAGCTGGCAAACTAGCTCTTCAAGTCTGTCCCCTGAAGCTGTTAAGTGGAGCTAAAGCGACAGGCCCTCACAGTTGTATTTTCCCACTTATCACAATACAGTGTAAGATCTGAGGTCATCACTTTTGCTCTTCTTCTTTCACACGTTGGGTTCTCACTCTAAAGTCACACTCTGAGTCTGACGCTGCATAACGGCCCCAGTGACAGTCCTCTCTTTTTAATGTTCACTTAAATCTCACTGTAAGTCTCTGTCAGGGCATGTGAGGATTAGGATTTCACTTTCAGCATCGCAACTACATTAGCACATCATCCAGAGCACGTCATATAGCTCTAATTTAAAGTTGTCATTTCTGCTGCTATGATATACTATTACGTTTCACATACAGCGACAGCTATACAAACTTCATATACTGCACGATAAGAAATGAAAGGAAACAATGCGAAAGGATCATGTTTCTAATGCTGTAGAGCTGCAGCTGTAATGATGATGCATACATGCCGTGTCACTGACATTGAATGCTCTTTCTCATGCATGTTTCTGATGACTTGAGTGATGGTCTCTCTGATTCCCACTGACATAATTGCTCATTAAAGCCTGTACACATATAGATATCTCTTTATTGTCTCACTGCAAGGCAGCAGATATGAATCCATTCAGAGCGTCAACTTAAATGTCCGTCTGGAGCTTGTGTAGAGGGAAGAGTTAAAGTACTGCATGTACATGAGGTAACATACACAAGATATCACATTTATTTCATTGGTGCAAATTATCACGATGCGTAGTGTACCGTATATGAAACCACCATTTTGAAGCTTCCTCACATGGGCTGAAGGCCATCAATTTATAGATATTGAACATCATGTACTTTTGGGGAAGCATCATGGACTTTTTAAAAACTAACCTCTGGGATATGAAAGGTTAAACTACACTTTATAAACCTTTTAAATGTGTCATTATATATTAATTATATCACACTAACTCAATTAGTAGCTGCATGTAAGAAAGTGGCCTTTCAATGATCACAATCTGGCTATGTGTCATAGTTTTGCAGATGATTCTTATTTTATCAAACATTTTAACAGACTGTTCAAGCACATTGATTATAGTCGAGTCAAATGGAATTAGGAAAAGGAGGTGAATTTATAAATGTTTTCATTTAAACAGGAAACTATGTCTCGCTTACGAATGACAGGAGAATTATCGACACATTTAAATGTTTACTTTGAAGGTCTGACATGGGCATGCGAATGGCATCTTTTACACTTTTTCTTAAATCTGGCCCTTTAAGGAAAGTGACTGGATAAGTACTTTATTATTCAATGCCAGTCACTTTACACATCTAATAAATTACAGTTATACAATATGTAACAATATGAATCTCTTGTTAAACCAGAGCACATGGTGTAAAGGCTTCTACACTAAATGATCAGATGCACCACAACTGTTTTTCTACAACATCACACAACTGCTGTTGTAATAAATCTGCCATTGCCCTAAAGGTGGTCATCAGCCAACTCATCATTGATACTCTGGAGCGCAGCTGAACCGATACCACTAAGCCTATTATCTCACTAATACAGTTGAAACAGATGTAAGGGACTAGTAGCCTAATTGTGCCAGATATCCTCAGAATGTGACATTTTAACTGGTGAGCACTATTGGCTGATAGAATTTTAAGAGTTCATTTAGATATTTTGTGAGCCAGTATGTATGGCCATGAATGTGGTTGAGATTTCTCAAACTGCAGTGAAGATTTCCAGGCTGAAGCTGTAAATGTTTTAGGTCCATATTCAGAAAATCTAGATGACCAAACATAGGCACACCTATGGGATGCTAGTTGGGCAACAAACTCTAAAACTCTAGTGTGCCCAAGAAATAGACAGGGGCCCCTAAAATGACCATGCATCATCTCAGTTTGCAATGCTGCTGCTTAAAATCCTCGCCGTGCAAATCCCTACACCACCATAACACTGTACTCTTGCTCACTAACTACGAGGATATCTCTCATGTAAACACTTCAGTCTTCAGCAGCTCAGATCTAAGCCTGCACGACAATCTGTCTTTTGCACTCTTGAAAGTAACACAGGACGTGCACAAGACATCCTTCATGCACCTGTGGGCCACCACAGTCTGACTCTCTGCGGGCCTGTGTGAAACGATATACGCACAATGAAAAGACGCACGAAATCAATCAACGATTATTCACTCATTAAGTATCCAGTGAGTCATTCATTGAAGGCTATCTAGCATCAATGACTGCATCATTATGCCCATGCACAGTAGCCTATTTTTTTTTTTTTTTTTATCCCATCCTGTTGTTTATTTTTCGTTGCAAATGAGCACAAATACCTTCATCCGATCTGTGCAAGCGTAAGACAAAAACTGAATTTCTGTTTGACGTTGTTTTTGTGCGTGTGTCTCTCACCGAGCACTCCGGACGGCGTTAAGGACGTGTGCTGCTGCTGTTGCTGCTGAAGCTGCTGCTGGTTGTTGGTTCTGTCCTGCTGCTCGCTTGGCACCGTCCTCTCCATCCTCTCCCCTGCCCCGTCGCTGTCGTCGACGTCTGCGGCTCCGCTGCTGCTACTGTGTACAGCAGCGTCGGTGTCAGCTGCTCCTTTGCCCGCCGCCTGCATAGTGGTGTGTGTGTGTGTGTGTGTGTGTGTGTGTGTGTGTGTGTGTGTGTGTGTGTGTGGGACAGAAGAACAACACCGCACGGGGGACTGTGTTTTTATTGCATGGCTGGTGCATGTAAAAGGAAAGCCCTCAGTGTATCTGATAGATGAGGAGGAGGAGGAGGAGGAACATGATCATGGCTCCTACACGTTACGTTCAACAGTCGTGACTGTGGAGTGACGAAAGAGTTGAGGGGAACACCGCGCAGGCTGCAGGGATGCTAACAGGGACATAATATGGACATAATGAGCAACAAGGGAGTCAATCGACTATGCCTTCGATTATATTGATCATAATGAATATGCATGGTGTGATGCACGCTTTCATGATAGCCTACCTTATGCATTAAGTTCGAAATTTCTTAAATGAATAAATCAACATTTTGGGGGTTTGTGCTCTTTTAAGTTTTGTGAAATAGTCTAACACTGTGTTTTAAATGTATTTGAGAATACTTAACATGCTCCTTTTCTGTGAAATGTTAACGTTGTCTTATTGGCCACAGGGTAAGATTTAAGCCAGGGATGGGCAACTTTGGTCACAGCAAGGGCCACATTAATTTAATTCTCACTGCCAGAGGGCCAAATTATAGGATACAAAAACGATTACAGTCAATTTTGTCTCCAATTTAACTCAACATATGCCAGTGATCATATATTATTATGGACATACTTCTGGTTTTCATGATTTCATGGCAGATTTAGTCATGTTTTCTTCATGTTACCGATTAATTGATGTGTAAAAAATTGACCTGAGGGCCACGTCGAGGGTTGATGGGGGCCGCCAGTTGCCCACCCCTGATTTAAGCCTTAGCCTATGCTAGACTACTGCAAGAAGATACTTTTCTTAGTTTAGCACAAATTAGCCTCCTGAAAACTGTGGATTACAGCTAGACTGACTCTGTCCAAAGATAACTAGCTGGCTGGCAACACTTGAACTAACTATTTTTTTACAAGTAGGCTAGCCTAATATGATTGTTCATGCTGTAAAAAAAAGAAAAGAAAAAAAAAGATTTACTTTAAACAGATTCCACCCCAGGAAAACTCTGAAGAAACTTTATCGAACTGTAAAGATAAAATAAATAAGATAGTAGCCTAAGTTGCCTAGTCAAAGTAAAGTTCTAGCCTACATAAGCTTTAGAGGTGCTGGTAGATTTAAGCTAGCTCCTTCCCCTTTATGTCTAACCGGCTTCCCTAACCGGCTGGAGGCTATAGCTTAGTAAACAACATTCTGGAGCACTTGAATATCTTCTCAGGTAGCTCATCTCTTGTCACAAAGGAATTAAGCACAGCTAATTTCACAAAAGACCCAACTACACAAGTAAAAACTGTCGACATAGCTTGTAGCAGTGTTCATTTTCCAACAAAAGTGTAGGCTAATAAATCAACCTCACAAAATCAACTGTCATCTTGTAAGTTAACGCACAAGCATTTTGGTGTTAAGCGGTCTTTAAGGGCAGGGATCCCAAACTTTCAGCTCATGACAGCCACACATGCACTAATAAGTCACTAAACACAAAAGAGTACAACAGCATAAAAATCATTAAATTATTTTAAATGTTCTAAATTTTTGGGTGGGTCGCAAGATGGCTCCCAAACACCATTTTGGGAGCCAATTTTTAGTGGTGGGTAATCCAGCCTTAAACGTAACTGAGAATGACTGACAGGACTCCGAGTACTCGAGAAGCCCATATTTGTAACTTCTCAAGGACCCTGAGAGGTAAAGCCAGTACCCCCTTGAGCATATCCATTCTGTTTAGGACAAAAGACAAAAATTCATCTGAAAAGTCTTTAGAAACTGACCCTAGATAATTTAGCCTTCTGTGTGCACAAGCCCTAGACATGTGCTGCCAGCATGGACTAATAAGTGGACATAACTTCTTGATTTCAAGAGAGAGGCCGGTGTTAAGTGCCTTTAACCTGCATTCTTTCTAATTGTCAGCAGTGGTCGACTGCACCGATTGCAAAAAGAAGTCATACCAAATGTAGATTTACTAGAAGACCATTCTAACCTAGCCTAATTAATGACCTTGTTATTTGTTGTCCCAAAGAGTTTATGGACTCAATCCTTAGTTCAAAGACGTCTTACAGCTTGATTTTTGGTTCCGTTTGGAGTCAAATAGAAAATAAAGCAGTTTATCTGTTATAGGCATGGACAAATCACTTCTACTTTGAAACCAGGTGCAATATAGAGGCCTATAAATGCTATCCGCCATCTTGTCCAAATGTGGTGAACTAACACAAAAAAGGGGGTTTGGGTGGTGAGTCCACAAAGCAATTGGTAAAATCAAGGTTATACATTTCCTTCTATACAAACAGGCTGTTTCCAGTCAGGCCTTTCCCGTCACTGCATTTTAAAAACACTCTGAAAGATAAACAGCTTGGAGAGTTAAATGATAACTAATAAGAACACCATATGGTTCTGTATTTAATTCTGTATGTGCCATTTTCCACAAACAACACAAATAAAACTGTGTATGTTTTGACAACAGAGCCAGGGAGACACTTCTTACTCATTCACACCTTCTGTTTGGCCGTCACCCAAAGACTCATCTGCCTGCCATAGGTGCTCACTGTCACACAACGCTGACTCTTTAAATTCTCCCTACGTTCTTCCTGTTTGTTTGTTTTCTGTTTCACTTATTTGAACATGGAGAAGCAAACACAGTGTCAGAAGACTAGTAAGCTTGTTCACGTATATTTACATATTCATGACAGTCATTTATCTCCCATTGCAGTTTGGCAATGCACTACTATGGGCACTAGATGGAGGCATTAGACAGTTACACCAGCAGGGCTATCTGCCTGCTGACAAATATTAATAAGACAATCAAAATGAAATGTATTGCTGTTTCTCTTTTGTTGTTTTCCAAAATCATACATTGTGGTTTAAATATCTCCCTCTGCCCTCTGACTTAAAGTCTCAAGTCAATTTACTTTATTCATTCACCAGAAAAATCTCAAATTTGTCACAAGGCTTTTTTAATCCCCAAAATCTGTTTTTCACAGATTCACCTTTTTAAAAAGGAGGAAACCCTTCAAAAATGATTTTTTTAACAGGAAAAAGGGGAAGTGCGGTAGAATAAAAAAGGTTTTATCATCAGAATGTAGAGTAAGAAAAGACAATACAAGAAAGCTATCTCTCTCAAGAGAAAGTTTTCAATACTGTAACGTAGAAAAATCAACCGGATGCTTCTATTTGCTATTTTTATGGAGAAAATGTAGGTCATTTTGCAGCAGTACCTCTGTCAAAACTTTTTTTAAAAATAGTTTTACCCGAAAGGTCTTCATCTCTATTTAAACACTTCTATTTAAAAGATCACTGACCCTTTAAATAGAAGCATTCAAGACATTATGACTTTTAAATTAAAGTTTTGCATTTTTTCTTATTTCTTTTCTTATTTTTTCTCTTCGTTTTACTTTGTTTTACTCAAAATGAACAAAATATTTTACTACCACAAATAAAATAACTATTTACATTACATAATAGGCTAGTATTATTTAGAGTATGATAGCTCACATACATGTTTCCACTGCATGCCTCTCAGTGGTTGTTATGGACTGAAACAGGATACCTGTAGTTCGGTTACTGGTAACACTTGACAGTAGGGGTACAATTGTTTTTACTTAATTAATGGTAAAGTAATGCATTACTAATGATCATTTAAAGGATGCGTTTATGTTTCTTACCATTATGATGAAGTCACTTTTACTGTATTCAATGGGTTCACCTTTAAAAGATCATCAGTTCAACCACCTTAATCCACAGTTACTTTCATTAGTTTGTCAAAATATGGTAAAAAAAAGAAGAAAAAGAAGTCAAAATGATTACATTCCTTTCATCAATAATAAAACAAATGATAGAAGAAGCTCTCATGGTGGAATGTTGTTAATTATGCAGAACAATTATACAGCGAATATTCTTAGAAATATGATGTTTTTAAATGTCATCAGATAAGATGAGCAGATGCAAAATTTTACAATAAACTAGTTTGTCCAGCTACTGTGGTCCATACCAGTTTATAAAGTCATATAGTGCAACAGGAATGGATTATACATCCTACATTAACTGCATTACAAAGTCTTAACCTGTTACTCTTTTCTAGCAGACTAGGGGATTGGTAATCTTCTCAATATCACTTTCCTAAGTGAACAAGCAGTGAGGGTCTGAGTATGTGATAGCAGCTGGTCAGAGTTTACAGCAGCCCAAAATCCACAATTTTGTAACCCTTAAGGAAAAGCTCCTCTGCGAAGCCTCTTGTTCTAAGTCACTAAATCCAAAGGGTAAATAGTTAAATGTAATAGAGTATTTTTATGTTGGCATGTTGGTGTAAAATGTTACATAAAAATACATTCTGCTGACTTCAGACACTACTTTTATGTCTTGCATTCACATTGATTTTCGCACACAATGGATGTTGGTTGTTTTTTCAGTGTTAAGTAATGTATGCTTTTGTTTTATTTGATCCCCCAATAATCCAATTATGTTAATTCACAAATGTTAAAATGTTGAATTATGTTGGAAGATGTTTAATATGGTAACTATAGTACAAACCACTGTGCCTGAGTTCTTCCGGACTTAGCTGTGCTTTTCTGTAGACTGGTATAAGACCAATGGACAACATAATTCAACATTTAAAACCTTAGCTGCTTTTTTGTTGTTGTGTTATTTTAGTCCCAGATTTTCCATCTAAAGCCATGAACAGTTTCATTTGTTTATACTAAATACTTTGACCATATCTACAATTAAGTAATGACAACCTAAGCAGTACTTTGTTCAATCTAATAAGCAAGCGCTAGCATGCTAAAATGCTAAGATGTTGGACTGACGATTGAACTGGTAGACGTTTATGCCGCAGTGTAACTCCATGCAATGCAACACAATGTATAAGGGTAAAATGATTGGGACATTTAATCCAGAAGGCCTGAAACAGCTCCCACTTTGCTACGTCATTTAGTTTTCAAAAACACCCAAGATATGTGGTGTAGAGCTAAGTTGTATTATCAGTGTTTCATATAATGTTGACCTCAGTAGCAGTTTTATAATCAGGATTCCCCACACACCTGGGCCTTCCTTATTGTTGCGACAAAAACACAGGTTACATTAAGTCAAACTCAACCTCTATGAGCTAATAAACTAAACAATGTTTTCCTCTATAACTCTTTCATAGAGAGGGGTCAAGGTGAAAGTCAGGGTTGCGTTTAAGAACTTTAAAACAAAAGGACAACATTGCTGGGGTATGTTTTCCCTCCCAGCTGTTTCCAGCATTTACCTCTAACCCCCTCAAACACTACAGTATCTGCACTAGAGAAAGGGTTTCGCCCCTTGATGTTTTTACCAGCCTGGGCAGCCATGGGACCAAGGGGGGCCAGGCAAAGAGGAAATGCAATTAGAAGTGACAGTACAGCAGCAACATTAGCAGCAGAAGACAAAAGAGCTCATGGTCCTGCTACCCCAAGTGAGGAAGGAGGTCGTAATCATGAGCACAAGGTCCCTTTCCTGCATCAGGAGGAGGATGAGGAGGGAGGTAGCTGGGCAAACTGTGACTCAACGGCCCCAACATTACATCTGTGGTGACTGTGTTGTCCACAACACTGAGGGTTAATATCCGCAAAGACGCCACCGATTAATTAAACCGTCTGTGGAAGTCATATACCCTCAATCCATTCATAATGGACGATCCTGACCCTATCATGACCTACTTCATAACAAGAACAAGTATTTACAATTAATAATCAGTAATTACATTAGATAATATCCAGTTTTTTGGATCACAGAGCTTGTTTGTATCAGAGACTTGAAAAGCTTTTCCTAAATGACAGATTGTGCACCTAAATCTTTGTATTTTGTAGGAAAGTTATCATCAATGGCGGGACTAAATGATTTGTGTCAGTTGTGTGTTTTTTCAACCTTTCTGTTTGGACCTCTATTATGCACAATCTAACGCTTAAATAATAGACCCCCATCCTTAAAAAAAACAAGAAATACTGTTGTGTTCAGATGTCAGCTTTTTAACAAGTGCCCCTCTTCTTCATAGTTGGATCATATATACTGTCCACAATGTGTACACTTCACCCAGTACTAGATGAAACATTTAAAGCTGAGGGATGAAATCCATTTAGTTATAAGGTGCCAACACTTCACATTTAAGTTTTGATACAACGCACAAAACCATGCACAAACTGCACAGTGCACAAAACCCAAAAGACAGTCTATTAATAAACACATTACACTATGATGTTTCTCCTCATCTATATCTTTTTCTGTTGCAAAACCCATTGCCTATTGTGGCCAACATACATTAAAAAAAACTTTTAATATTTGCTTCTCAATCCTGAAGGATGGGATAGGGAATTCGCCGACAAGTCTTGCAAAAATTGCAAAAAGTAAAATATTATCCGTAGAAATAAAAGGAGAAATTGACAAAAATATTGCTTGAACTGTTCAATCTTTGTGGCCTGTAGGCTTCACCATACTTTTATCATTTACATATACACATTTTAAGAGGTCACAATAGTTTGGACTTTAGTCAACCAAAAGTGCATTTTAGCTGTCACATCATTTTTATAGCAAAATGAATTAACAGATTTGGAACAGAAAGCTTCAAAGCTCCATACAAGCTCCAGTCCATTTACCATATGGAGTACACCCACTTATTATTCAGGCTCCATAGGGTATACTCACTTCTAAATCTCATCTGATTCACATCAATGATTTATTGACATTATTCAGTACATGCTGAATTTTTTTAGGATGGTGAAGGGATGACCCCACTTTGTCTCCAATTGGCTAATATGTACTTAGTAAATATGCAAGAATAGTCTAACATGTAACTGTTCATAACAGAGGCCATTTACCCTCTGCTGGACCAGTCCCTTAAAGAAAAAAGGGGTGGGGGCGCCCTGCAACTGTTCATATGCAGTAATGTTAAATGAAACCAGACATTTCTAGAGCCACCTCCTTTATTTTGCAGCCCTTGTCACATTTCTGGCACTACAGCCATAAAACCCACATCTATGCGTTAAGCTTAAGCTCCAGATCAAGAAAAGATCTGCATTCAGCTACTAACAATGTTAACAATGTGCAGTTTGTCTCAATAAAATCTACTGTCTTAACTGTTGTTTGATAAAGCTTGTATCCGCCTCCTCCTACCCTCTCTCTTTTCGATAACCCCTAATTGCTATGGCAACAACGTGGCATGTGTTTTTGGCCCATGAATCTATCATACAGCTCAAAAATATAATATATAATGGTTAGTTCCATTATATTAGTTAGGCAATATTAAAAACACTTACCCAGAAGCAGCACTAGCCATCCTGAAACTGAACATGTTTCTCAATGATGTTCTTTGTTTTGCTTAAATATTTCTGTCATATTATTTAGTACAAAAGCTTAAGAACTGTAACATTTACATGTATTGACACATTTGTAGTATTATTTCAACTTTACTGTTAAAAACATTACCAACTTAAAGTTTCAGAGGTTAGTAAAATAATGTTATTTGGCATGTGAAATAATATCCCCTTTCTTCATCATACATCATTAATTTTTTTGACCATGCTGAGTTTAGCTAATAATACCAGGATATTTTCTGTTTGCGGTAGGTTGCTATACTGAGCATTGGGTAAAGAAGATGTCTTTTACAATATCAAATTATTCTGTGATTGCTCACTCTGTAATTTGGGCAAAGGGAATAAAGAAATGGGATGAGTCGACAGGAAAACAGTCCGATGGCAGGAAATGTTTGCTCAGAACTACATGATCATGGTTTTTCCAATGAAGTTGTTATAACGTGTCCTGTGTCTCAGTCAGACTATTAAATCCCTGTCCCTGAAGCATCCAAACAGTTGACCTTTAATATCCTCACAGCTCCTACAGTAGCGAGCTGAACATCCCAAATGTGGAAAAACACTTGGTGTTAAACAAAGGATATCCTTTAGACAGGAAAAAGCTTCGCCTTCTCTCAAGACTACGACTGTATTTATTAATTGGCACCAACACAATACTTTTTGGTACTTGATTTAACAGAAGGCTGCCATCCTTTCACAGCGCAGATACAGGATGTTTGTCTGTTCTCATAATGGTTTTTTTCCCTCCCTGCTCTATTTTAGCTACATGGTAATGATGTGCAGGTCAAAATGAAAGTCAATAAGCACTGAAATCATTGTTTGAATCACTTTAATGGTATATCTCAAAATGTAAGAAAAGTGACATAAAGTGTGTCATAAACTCTGAATCAGGTATTAAAAAATATGAAAAAATATTTCATCATAACATTTAGCTTTTTACCAAGAAATACCTAAAGATTAAAGATTTAAATTTTTAAGCTTGCTTCGATAAAGAAAAGAGAAGAAAAAAACACCTCAGAACACTTAGCTAAACAAAGCCTTCCCCCCCTCCATTTATTGTTTATAAGAGATATATTGGGTTTTATTTAGGTAATGGATATCCGTGTTCTCAACAGTTAAGTGGCACATTGTTTTAACAAAATGTACTAGAACGTTTCCAAAAGCTTTTCCCACTTGCCTCAGCCGGCCTGCTGACAGTTTGGCAGGTAAACATAAACTGCGAGTGAATCATTACAGGGGTTAGGGGTGGGGTGTTGATGTTCATTTGTGATGATGATAATTACCCACACAAAAGGTGACGCACATCGGGACAAACAGTTATTTCCTGATCTGTATAGTGATATATCTTAAATAGCTTTGTTTAACAAGAGGAGACAGGCAAGGTGCTTCAGTCCTATCAAAGCCTTTAATTTCAATGTATCAACAATGAAAAAATACAATGTGTGCATATTCATACAAAGTTGCATAAAAAAACAAATCCTTACACAAAATTCACATTTTACATTCAAAAGTGCTTAAGTAATTCAAATTACTAAATGCTGACTGGAGTATAAGCTGTCACAGTTTATAGCATCTCATCTGATACAATATGTTAACACAATATGAGGAGCGTTCATTTAGATGTGTGTTAAAAATGCAGCATATAAAACTCCTTCATGGTTTGTTTTTTCTCATCCAGATGACTAACCCAACATCCTGGAGAGATCTTGTTTCTCCCTGGAAAAAAAATTAAAAGAAAATTAAAATAATGTACGTGTCTTGTTGTAAACAAAAAAAACGAAGTGCACTGGATAGCCGAGGGGTTATATCACACGTCACATTGACAGAGGCTGTAGTTCAACAGCCATGGATTTAAATCTGACCTCAGCCCTTTGCTGCATGTCATCCCTCACTCTCTCTTCCCAATGTTACCTGTCTCTCTTCAGCTATGTTATCCAATAAAGGCAAACATGAACTGTGGAGACCCTGGTCAACAATACATTTGTATTCCTTTATGTCATAAAACATTTTGTGACTACTAAACAACATGAATTCATCAGTGAGGCATACTTTTTTTGCTGGATGACATGTTCCTTAAATGTGATGTCCCTCACTATTAAGTTTTTAAATCATTTAAAACCTACATACACACAAGATAACCTGCATTGTCTATGTTCTGGGATTAAACCTTGTCACATACAAACCCAATATTAGCTACTATTTGCCAAAAACTAAAATTATCTATTTTTATTTTTGTATTTGTTACAAGATTTAAAATATTCACATAGTTAACTATTTAGGTTAAGGCTGAGTGATACACAGTCAAGGTAAGAATTTCAAATTATTAATCAAAAAACGAATGTGCTTTTTGTTTTCAATCAATAATTTTTTCAATCATACATTGCCAAATCATAACAAAGTTATCTAAGGGCACTTTACAAAAAGAGCAGGTCTCGACTGCACTCTTGTCTATGTTATTTAAGGAGAATCTAAATAGATCCACCAAAGATCCAGCACTCAACAGTAGACAAACGTCCTTTTAAGAGGCAGAAACCTCAAGCAGTCACTTGTTCTGTGATTGGATGGGCACAGGCTTTATGTGATTTGTTGACCCCAAAAAAAATCCATGTCACCACTGTGCATACACGGTTCGATTGCATCAAAAACATTGGAATCACATTCATGTTAACTCTAACATTAAAGCTGAAGAAATGTTTTACTCACTCAGAGGCGGAAGGGTTGATGAGGTGTTGCAGGTCCCTAAGGTGTTGAGCAACATTGACTGTTGGTTAAACAAAAGAAAACAGAGATTTGTTAGAACAAATTATAAATTTAAAAACTTTTAAAAAACATCAAACAAACAAATCACAATGGATACTTTCAATACAAACCATTGGATTTGTGTAATATGTGGGGTGCTGTCCTGATATGTGTGTAACATATATGTATTTATGTGCATAACTTAACATGTTTTTAAAGGGTCAATTCACAAAATTCTTTCCATCCATGCAACTGGTTTTGGATTAATTATCACAGCTTTGAAGCCTTCAGTCATGACAATGGGCATACATTCATAGTAATAATCCTGCAAATATATATATATATATATATATATATATATATATATATATATATTTTTTTTTAAAGTTTTACCCACAACTAATACAGTATTACACACTTCTATAAACTGAACAAAAACAACTGTGTTTACTGCATTATTTTTTCCTTACCTGAGCCACCTCCAAAACTACTAGTTCTTCCTGATCCGAATGATGAACCACTTCCACTTGATGTTTCTTTCCCTGTTCCACTTCCTGTCTTACTTTGTCCTGAGCTACTGCCTCCAAACCCAAACCAACCTGTGCCAGAGCTGGATGAGCTACCTTTACTTGTTGATGCAGGCTTACTTGATCCTGACCCAGTGGAGCTGCTTGACCCAAAAAGGGAAGAACCAGATGAGCTAGGAGAGCCTGACCCAGTTGATGCAGGCTTATTGGATCCTGACCCAAAGAGGGAAGAACCAGAAGAGCTAGAAGAGCCTGACCCAGTTGATGCAGGCTTATTGGATCCTAACCCAAAGAGGGAAGAACCAGAAGAGCTAGAAGAGCCTGACCCAGTTGATGCAGGCTTATTGGATCCAAACCCGGTGGAGCTACCTGACCCAAAGAGGGAAGAACCAGATGAGCTAGAAGAGCCTGACCCAGTTGATGCAGGCTTATTGGATCCTAACCCGGTGGAGCTACCTGACCCAAAGAGGGAAGAACCAGAAGAGCTAGAAGAGCCTGACCCAGTTGATGCAGGCTTATTGGATCCTAACCCGGTGGAGCTACCTGACCCAAAGAGGGAAGAACCAGATGAGCTAGAAGAGCCTGACCCAGTTGATGCAGGCTTATTGGATCCTAACCCGGTGGAGCTACCTGACCCAAAAAGGGACGAACCAGAAGAGCTAGAAGAGCCTGACCCAGTAGATGCAGGCTTATTGGACCCTAACCCAGTGGAGCTACCTGATCCAAAAAGGGACGAACCAGATGAGCTAGAAGAACCTAACCCAGTTGATGCAGGCTTATTGGACCCTAACCCAGTGGAGCTACCTGACCCAAAAAGGGACGAACCAGATGAGCTAGAAGAACCTAACCCAGTTGATGCAGGCTTATTGGATCCAAACCCAGTGGAGCTACCTGACCCAAAAAGGGACGAACCAGATGAGCTAGAAGAACCTAACCCAGTTGATGCAGGCTTATTGGATCCAAACCCAGTGGAGCTACCTGACCCTAAGAGGGAATAGCCTGACCCAGTTGATACTGGCTTGTTGAATGCTGACCCAGATGAACCAAAGCTTGAACTGGACCCTGACCCTGGCTTATCAAATTGAGAGGGGGAACCCATCCCAAATGGATTTGAAATTCGACCTTGGTGTGTGCCTGCTGGAAATGTGGGGAACCCTTGCTGGAATGAGATAAGAGCAATGTTAATATGGGGAAACTTATTCTTATTACATTTGATATAGTCAATCATAGTCAAGACTGTGATTTGGGATACTGAAGAGAATCACAGATATGCTAATATACAGAACAATCTTAACCTTATTAGTTCGAACTATAAACTACACATTTTTTTCCTTGTTTACTTTATGATTCATGTTGCTTGTCTAACACAACTAGCTCTGCAATTGATTTGAGCTGGACTGTTCCCAAGAAACACAAACATTTCCTGCTGTCTTGCTACTATTTTGTATTTTCAGTTTTACATATATGTTTTTTTCTTTTTTTAAGTGTGATACTTTCTAGCAAACATAAGTTCAAGCCTTTTGTTTTGAAAGGCTAAGTAAAGATAACACAACAGAGCTAAAATGCCCAGCTTGTAGCATGCATTGACCCCTGCAGAGCTTGTAAATATGTCATATAATTGTTCATGCTAATTGTTTTCTTACCTTGAACATGCAGGACATGTTGAGCACCTTGATTTTCTCTAAAAGGTGCTGAACCGATTTACTTTTATAGTTGGCATCGTGTTCCAGGAGTTCAATCTTTCCATTTAGCGTCATCTTGTCCATCAGAAGTTTCTCCTTCTCCTGATCATGTTTCAGCTGAAGCTTGTCTTGGTTATTTTTGTTCTGTTGGATCAGGCTTGTACGGTTCTGGCTGCACCAGCGATAGTCATCAGACAGTCTCCAGTTCTCTGCCTTCATGCGGCTGCTTTCGGCCTGGATGCTTGACACCTGGTCTCCCACGCTGTTCAGGTAACGCTGGAACCTGTCCTCCACCTCTCTGGACAGGCTGGAGCAATTGGTGCGGATTTGCTCCAGGTGTTCTCTCTGTTTGGGACAGGTGAGCTGGAAGGCAATGTGCGAGGGGAAGAGGGAGTTGATCTTCTGTAGGAAAGCGCTGGAGACACTGGAGACACCACTCAGGGACTGGATAAAGTCATCTTTGCATTTCTGTCTGAAATGCTCCACCTCCTTTTCATGTGTTGATATTTCTCTCCTCAGATGGATGGCTTCCAAGGTAATTTTGTCTCTGTCTTTGGCAGTCTGTTCCATGTCCATCCTCATCCTCTGTACTGTTTGAGTGAAGTTGGCCTGCTCAAGCTGAAGCTTGGCTCTCATCTGTTCCATCAGTGGCCCACAGTTACAATCAAAACCTCCAGATAAAAACAAAGACAAGAAAGAAAAGCTTAAAACAAAAATGGCAGCAGTTTCAACTGCATTTGAGTAAATCATTCATGTTGTCACCATTATTTCATTACTTTTGACTTCTCACCAAAGAGATATCATACTTACAAGGCTGTGGTTGGAATGTGGTAGACCGCATCTTACAAGTCATCAATTCTCCATTGCATGACATCTGTTCACGAAAGAGGAAAAAAAGTCATTAGTCTTTCAGATGTTTGTTCTAGTGAATTGTTCATTTAGCTGGATACATGGAAAAAACTTTACATTTGACCTCCAACATAAGCCCTGTGATTTTTTTGGGAAAAAATATTACAACATTTTTGACATGATAAGACATAATGTCTGTTTTTGTGTTTCCTATAGCTCTCAATTAAGATATCCTACGAGTCCTTTTGACTGTCGGATTTACTGGAAAAGGAAACACCTCAGTGGTAAAAGTAGTGGTTTACTTTTTTTAAATCAACAAGATTACTTTGAGGTTCATTAGGTTACTGGTGCACCAATTTATTTAGTATACGCAAATATTATACATAAAACCGCTTGAACATGATGACTACATGATCTCACAAGACAAGGAGGAAAATATTTGAAAAAAAAACATTAAAAAGACGGATAAAAAATACCCAAAGGACAGATTACAATCAAAAGTATCCCTTTGGAAAATCACATAATGATATTAAAGTAAGTGTAACAGAACAAGCACATTAACTGAGTTATACATGTGTAGATTTTGTGTAATCACATTTATCACTATATTCAAGTTTTTACCAATTTCATATTACTTTTTGTTACTTTGTTATTGTTTTAAGCAAACTTTTGAAGAACACTGCCACCATGTATCTTTTTAAACAAAACTTAAATATAAATATTTAAGCAGACAGGGTACAATTATTAAAGATGGGGGCAGTTTTCATTCAGCCATCCAAACAATATATTTTAGAGGTGTTGGTTTTAGAGCAATGTTGAGCAGCTTAGCCAATTTTGTATATGTCAATAATAAGGAATCAAATGTAGTTTTGTTCATTTTCTCATAAAATATAAATGTAAATGTATTTCCAATTTAGAGGCTCATTAACTGAGGAATTACAAGTTTGACAGTTTGTCAAAGTAATTTAGATTGTAACAATAGAATTTTGACTCTGAAAAGTTGCAAAACTTAAAAAAAACATGTAATTCCTGTTAATTTAATCTAAACTGCAATTACTCCCCATTACTAATGAGTAAAATCTGATCCTCAGTATTTTGATTCTCATCATGCATTACAGGTGCACTATGTAGATTTGGTGTTGAAATCTGGAGAAGTGAAACAATTCATTGCTATATTTTCTGAACTAAATACACAAACTTTATTCAAAGGAAAAAATGGGTCCCTGAACAATGTTTCAGGGACCCAAAAAAGCTACCAGGAGAGTTACGGTTTCACTCTTGCGGGCCCCCCACCATACCTTCTCATGTATCATTTTATCTTCAAACAGTGTTACAGGGACCAAATTTTCTTCTGAGGACAGTTTGTATATAGAGTTATGAACATAAACCACAGAATCAATACATTTATCCTACTTTCAGGTTACCAAAACTACACAGTGCACCTTTAAGACAAAAGTCTGTTGGAGTGCGTCTGAGGATTTCTTGTTCAGCAGAAGATGAGTCACATCACCTTCACATGGGTTATTTTTGTTTCTGTTCTCTTTTAGGTCCTCATGATATTTCACCATGAGAAAAATACTATCAATAGCATCACAAATATGCTGTATCGCAACGCAATAAAAGGATCTTTTATAAAAACATGTGTTTTCAATGCAATGCGTTTAGAGAAAATAAAACATTCCATTGCAGAGACGGAACAGTGGCCTTCAATTTTTTATCAATACTGTTTTTTTTTTTTTTTTAAATGAAAGGCTGCAAATTACTTTAGGATTAATTAAACATTTTCTATGAGTGATCGTTTTCCCTAAGTTGCATCATACCATCAGATTCTTTTACATTTCTGTAAATTAAGAAAAATACAAATTGCAGCCTTGTTGGGAATTCAATAAATCACAGATCACTCAAGAAAGAAGTTTCTAAAATATCACATTCCTGTAACTAATGTAACTAAAAGGTGTGATATCATTTTCTGGACAAATATTCAACATGAGAGCCTTTGAGGAACTTGTGCTCCTTCTCTTAAATGTTGCCTATTGATATAATCCAAGTTAATACATAATATATCTGTCGTGATTCCAGTATTATGCTGAACCTCCAGCTTTGACAACTTTGTATCTGCTGTGGATTTACTCAAATAAAGCAGTGCATAAATATAGCTGTCAGTTCTTAACTTTCATCTGCAAGTTTACTGACAGTTACTAAACCATTCTGACTCAGACATGCCACACCTTGATCTCATGTGACTGAATTTTATGTGACTAAATTTTTAATTAGATAATTCATTTAAAATAAGTAAGTGAGTAGTAATAGTGATTTATTCATAATAATAAAAGAAAAAAATGCAAATTTCTCACCAGCCTCTTTTGCATATCTTGGATAAGGATTACTGAGACGTTGGTGTATTCTCGCAGTTTGGCAAGGTCCCAGTCGTTGCGGGCCTTTTCAATCAGGGTGGCATTGAGAAAGGTGGTCAGGTTCTTCCTCTGCTGCTTCAGAGCCACATTCTCAATGGAGAGACTGCTGAAGCTCTCCTCCAGGTGGTGGATGCGTGACGTTGATGCTGAGTCTTGATCCTTCCCGTAGATCAGAAAGAGCACAAGGCTAACTATGATCAGAGACTGGATGAGCGAAGAGAAGAAGAAGACGATGCGCATGTAGTAGCCGCAGCTCTTTCCTTTTGAGCGGTGCTTCATCTTCTTTCTGGCCTCCTGGCTGTACTTAGAGACATGGGAGTATCCACTGCTGTACATTGGTCTTGATGGAGGGTCAAAAAGTGGAGGTGTAAGATGCAGACCGAGACTTGAGGAATACTATGAGCAGCCAGCCAGGTTCAAATAGCGTTGATGCCTGAATCTCAGGATAGAAACGGTCCTCCCTAGCACTCTGCAAGCCAACAGATCCAAAAGATAAAACAAAGCAGAATTATCTCAGTCCAGTCTTTCAGAGTCTGTCTCCTGGAAAGCTTGTGTGTTTTTCTCCAACAAAAGCCCAGATGTTTCCTCTGTGCAGTGTTGATAGCATGAGAATTGATCAGAATTTGTGAGATGTAAACATGGGTAGGAGTTTAAACTATCTCTGGCCACCTCCTATGATAGGAAGTTACGCTGAAGTCAGTCTCCTCCCTTGGAAAGCTATCTAATCCTCCCCATGTGAAGATTATAGACACGCACACACACGCACGCACACACACACAATAATCTAAAGGAATGCCAATGATGAATATACACAATAACCTATAAGAAACATCACAAATAAGTACTTCAATGCAACATTGGTAACTTTGACGATAACTTATTGATCTCATATACTCAGTTTATCATTTAAATGCATTTCAGAAAAGCATTGAACACATTTAGAAAAATCAAAGCCCTATAACAACCTTTGTTTTATTGTAACAAAGGACCCAAAACAGCCTTGGTGTTTCTTGTTTTAATCTATTTTAGGATTGTATTTAACATGTTTGTGCCTAAAGTAAAAGCAAACTGAAAAAATGGAATTTGATATTTTTTGGCCTTCCTGATAAATTACAAGATCATGTTTACTTTTTAGCGATAAGTAAGAAGATTTAAATTGAGAAAAATCTAATTTTGGTGTTATAGGAAAGGTGTTGTACATATTGACAACACTTTCTGATTATATTGTGCAAACCGACAGGCCAATTAGGACCTGACCAGGCTCACATCTCCATAAATATGCCAACACATTTTTTTAATGGGATCATGAGCAGCGTTTCCTGTGTACAGCAGGCCATGAGGACAATGGCTCTCGTCCTCAGTCTGACGTTTTCTTTCAGTGTTTCTTTGAAGCTGCAGGTCTCAGTCCAATGCGATGACGTTGGTAAGCTGCCCTCTGTCTCGCAGGACAAACACACTCTCACACTGAACCTCTTCATTTCAATAAGAAATTCAAGAGACTGACTATAACAGCCACTACGTTTTCCTGGAATTGTCGCCCCCGTGCCAGGCCTTATCGGAACAGGAAGCAGTAACTCACAGAGGAACTATTGATGGCCAAACTTGAAGCAACTTTTTGGAAATGATTGCAGATAAAAGGCGCCAATAGAGCAGGATATCAGAGACAGAAGACACAAACAGTCACAGTGTTGATTTAAACGATATTGAAATGGGTTGTTTTTAACCTTCAATTTCAAATACGGAAACACATGGAGGGGTTTTCTTTTTGGGTGGGCTTACTGACACAGCACTTTCTAATCAGACAAACAGTCGTCTATCACAAAGAAGTCATCCAATTTTTTTTAAAAAAAATTTTTATTTAACCTTTATTTTACCAGGCAGAATTGCTTGAGATCAAATGACCTCTTTTTCAAGCAAGGCCTGGCCAAAATGGCAGCAGCAAAAAAGAAATATAAGACAAACCCAAAAAGAAAGCACAGACAAATACAGTCCAGAAGGTGAAGAAGAAGAAGGAGGAGGAGGAGGAGAAGGAGGACAAGATCATGTTAAACAAAAACAAAGCACAATAAATACACTATTATTATTTATTTGTTAAAAGGATTTTTTAGTCCACTAAGATTAAAACACTGAGCACGTTTGTGTAACTTTTTTAAAGAGTCAGCCTTTGCATGATTATAAAATACTTTCTTCTGGAGTTCATTTTCTGAGATTTGGTTCAGTGATGAGTTAAATGAGCTTAATCTAGAGAATGCATATTCTGAAGAATCGTAGAGGGAATACTGTGAATGTTGGGTTTGAAAGTTGATTGATGTTAGTTATTTGTGAATATGTGAAAGAAAGAACTTTCCTGAGGTAAGACGTGACGTAAATAAACAACGCAGAAGTAGCGGCCGAAGCAACAGAGTCCGCTACACAACGTTACAATGAGAATATTTGCCTTGATATCAATGCTATGTGTAATCTAATGGAATGACAACATCCACAAAAGAGAGGAGAACAACATACTGACGAACAGAAATCATTTGCAGCCGTTTAATTACGTGCACGGAGATCGTAGTGGTCGCGGGCAGACACTTCAGGCAGTCACTGTATATAAACGTCATTCTCTTTCTATTGGCTCGAGTTGAAATCTCTGAAGTATATGCTGCCGCGTTCAGACATCAGATCACCTGGACTTTCTGCGAAAAAAATACTAGGGGTCTGGTCGGAGAAACTCCAGGTAAAGTCTGTGCGAAAAATGCGGCTGTTTGCGTTCACACATAGCCTAAAGAACCTCCGGGTAGACTAATCTCCGGAGTTTTTCAGGAGATTTCCGTATGTGTGAAAAGGGTTATGGAGTGTTTTAAAAATGCTGTTTCAGCAGTGGAAATATTGACTATATGGAACTAATCATCCTCTGCACTGTAAAAACAGTCATGGAAACTTATAATTCAGTGTCAGTTTAACGAGGAGTTCATGTCAATGTTGTGTTACCCTAAAGGTTTTTGTTCATGTCATCCCAACTAATGCAAACTTTTCCAACTTACAAAAGGATTCAACAGAAAATAAGAATACTTGTCAAATTTTTCCCTATAATACATATGACCCAGATAATATGACATTATTTGAAGTGGCTTCATAGAGCGGTGGTTACTGCTGTTCCCTCTAATCAGAAGGTCCCTGGTTTGCATCCTGCAGGTGAATTGTTTCCAAACAGACATGAGAGGAGTATCAGTTTCACATCGCCTTCTTTTTTAGCACTGTTATTCAAAAAGGGACTTTTTGAGCTACCTTCTTTTCTTACAGCAGCTGTCAGATTCAGTCCATCTAGCTGTTACCTCAATAAACCGTCTCAACATGGAACAGTTTTTGTCCGCCTACTCTTTGGGTAATGACCGAAAACAAAGACTGACTATGGTCAAAGGTTAAATGATGTATGTCTGAAGCGGATATATCCAGTAGCCTACAGAAAGGATATATGTGTATCCTGTTTAAAGGGTGGGTAACACTGTAATCCTGCTCTCCTGCACTTTGAGGTGGAAGCTAACAATGAGAGCGCCTCAACAAGTGAGAGGTGAAGCAGTAAAATGCTCCTCTGTCGCCATCAAATTACAGAAGGAAGAATTCACTTACTCCTATTGGTACTATGCTTAATGAGGGGCCACATTCTTAAAGAACTGTCTGGAAAATATCATGAGCTATATGTATTAACCTAATTAAATAAGGAATTTCATACTGTGTTGTGGATTTTTCTATTGGTAATGAAAGATCTCAAGTCAAAGTCTTTTGTCTTTGTGTATTTTATTGCATATAGTAAAAAGTTATTTTGCAAAAGGGGCAATCAGCTACAAAAGTAACATCAGTCACAAGTGCATCAAAGATTCCCGGGGCAGTCCAGGTTGCAGAGCATATTTATACTTTCACAAGGTGTAGGTATTTTGCATATACATGAGTGATACATCGTCATTGGTTTCAGCTTGCCCTAGTGACTACGCCTTCTGCTAGTTTGCCTGGTGGTTTATCTATGCAAGCTTCTATAAGGCACCTTGTATGGAGGAACATCAACAGAAACTCCTTTGTCAGGAGGGCACACTGATCTAAGGTCATGCTGTACCCAGATCCTGAGGAGCGTACCCGTTGGAGATACAGACCAAGGCCATACAGAGATACAGTTTCTAATTGCTAAATGACGCACGATCATCCTAATGTTTTCAAACGATGGCAACAGACAGATAGTATTTTTCCACTACAACTGCGTCATCAAAATACTGTTTATCTCTGTTCTCAGACGTTGCACATGTGGGTGTAGGATAGCCTTATTTGGCAGCTCCTCATGGTGAACGTGCCAAGGCTGCAACATGGCTCGCACACACCACCAAGCTCCTATAGGTGTGTGTCATCTGCTCATGTTGTTAACGGTTACACAGGTTGGACGGTATGTTCAAAGAGCCTCTAGTTGTCACAGGACATGCTATAGAGGGTCATCATGTATTGAAGTAACAGGGCTCTATTGTGTAAGCAGTGTTTACAGTGAGATTTGAAATGTTATGTTAGACACAAAACAAACTGGAGTGTGTTTACAGGACTGTTTTCCTGTCAGACCAAGGAGTCTGATGGGATTGTTTTGCCCTTGGTTTGAGAGCACATTGTTGAGCAACAAGGAGAGGTCACTAGCATCAAGGTTTTTTTTTTTTAAAAAGAAGCCTGCCTCCACAGAAAATTATTCAAATTAAACAGGTTATTTATCAGTTTATCTGAGACTTAAAGATCTGACTCATCAGCCACTTCAGTCAACCCTTAAAACTTTCCAGCTTTATGATCAGGTTACTTGAAGCTGAATAAAAGTTAGACACATCCAGTGTACACAAAGCTTTTGTCAATTTTACAACTGAATAAGCAGCATTCAATATCTAATTTCAGTCTGTTATTGAATTGATCATTGGTAGCATAAAACCTGTTATATACAAATGACTTCATTTATTAGATTAAACCAACTGTAACCAGAAAAAAAACATAACATGGTGGAAAATAGCCATATGTTTGTCCATATTCATACACTTACATTAAAAATTGTGGTGTTATGTTTTTCCACTTTTATACTAAAAAATGTTTAGATTATGTTGTTGTTGAAGTGTCAATCTGTTAGATATGGCTCTGTCAGCCAGAGTATTTACAGTCTTTGCTTTTTCACAATAAAACTAAAGTTTACATAGTGCTAATATTTTGTGAAATATATTACAATATAAAATGATATACTATATGTAACATTTCACAGTGAGGACAGTACGCTCAACACTTGTGGTATTAAAAGTGTGAAACACTGCCACTTAGTGGGGAATCAATATAATGCAGCTAATTATCACCACCTGGTTTTAGGGAATAATAATACATAAAGACAAACAAGAAGTCAGGAGTACATACCTCTTTAGCTTAGCATTCAAACTATTGTAGTTCTTAAGGAACAAGACAAACAAATGATTTTAAAAGGAGTTTGTTTTATTTATTCATGACTTTATTGATTTGATTATTTGTAATCAATATTTGACTACAATTAAAAAAAAGGAGCATCGACTGCATGTTCACCTTATTTGTTGAACTTACCATTATCTGCATGAAAACATAAAGAACTAGAACCTGTTTGTGAAATATAAACA